CAGGAGCTGTCGTATACCTCATTTCTAACTCGTAACTGAGTAACTTGCTTTAACTTTCTCCAAACCCTACAGAGTTGCCAAGTCTGCCCTCCCTCCTTTGATTAACATTGAACTCTGGCCTATAGCACCCCGTGACCTGCAACCTGGGGAGTGACCCCCTAACGCCTCTGAATGTCGCTGCTTAAAAGCTACTGCAAAGTGAGGGCAAATTGCAATCTTCTCTTATTTCCTTTGGTTACAAGGGGTCCTCTTGAGTAGTCTGTGAATATCTGCCCCCCTCCCCTCCGCACTACCTTTCCCACCCCGTGGGGGGCTACGCCGACCCCCCGGGCCTGGAGGCTCCCTCAGCCCAGTGCTGCATACTACACGCTACTCGCTTTCATTAACATGACCAAAAAAAAAAGAAAAAAAAAGAAAAACCTCCAAATATTTAATTTTATTCTTTATTATTTGACAATCCTGTATCCCTTCCCCGCTCCCCAGCCTGGCCAGAAGCTGCGCCCTTAACCCGTTCCATCTTTACGTTGAATGTAGTTCCCCCCACCCCATGGGAAAGAAAAGCTGTCAGGTCACGGTGGCTGCTATAAGTCGGGAGGGGGAGGTTTCTTTGTTTTGTTTTGTTTTTTTAAAATTTGCAGCCAAAACCAAAGATTTCCTAATGATTGTATAAACTCAAAACAAACAAACAAACCAAAGACAAAGGGCGTCTTCAAAACATGACCAAACTGTGAGGCCGCACGTGCGGAGAGGGCCCGGTGGGGAGGCCGCGGCGGCGGCGCCGTCCTCACCTCACCTCACCTCACCTCACGTCACCTCACCTCGCCGGGGCCTGGAGGGCCAAGGCCGGGGTGCGGGCGCTGGGCGGGGGCTTCGCAGGCGGGTTGAGGAGCTGAAGAGCCGGGTGCAGGATTGGCTGCTCTGCTGGGTGCTTTAACCCTCTGGGGCTGGGTGATGTTGATTAATACACGCTGAGGTGCACTTCTGAGCTTCCCCCCTCCCCGCCGCTGCTTGGAAGAGGCTGTCCTGTCGTGAGGGATCCCTGAGAGACGAAGAAGCTTTTCATTTCTCCTCTAGCTCCTTTTTTTCTATATTTTGTTTCTTTTTGCAGCACCACTGTGCAACTATGCATTGTATTTCTCAACCTTTTATGCTAGGTAGATGCCTGTGACTTTTTAACTTTTGGGGGGGGGATTGCAAATGGAGGAACTTTTTACATGGATCTTTTTAATCTCAGTTGATTGGGGGGTGTTTGGTTCTAGGGTCATACAAGCTCTATCCCAAAGCAAAATCCAAATGTTAATATTATTAGCCTGATGCAGATACCAAAGATAATTTCTTTCCTGCAGAACCTTAGACTTGTGTATTAAGTACGATTACCCAGCACTTGCATTAGTCTAACCTCAGTAATTCCAAAGCTTAGATGTATATTTTGGTATATTTCTGGGATATTAAAAAATTGTCGTTTAAATTCTTGTTTGTTTCAGTGTAATGCTCTTAAAGTCATAGCATGGAGATAACTGAACTTGTCCTATTCTTAGTAGTTTGAAATAATAGTATTTTTGTATGTTTTGGGTGTGTCTATGTATGTATTAACATAACAGTTTTCACTGCCTAGGTGTTCATAAATAAAACAACTAAGGGTTTTTAAAATGTACATAATATTCCATGAAGAATTTCCACCAGACCGCCAATTCGAATCGCATTTTCACTGACAGCCGCTCCCAACTGGGATTCTTTCTTTCTTTTCTTTTAAAGAGAAGGCATATTTTTTTTCTTTTTCTTCTTCGGTTTTTTTTTTTTTTTTTTTTCCTCATTGACCTGAAGTCTTTCTCAGAGTAGAAGGGTTTTCACTAATTTGAAGGATGGGCCAGAGGAAAAATAACTTAAATTTCGTTAATAAATAAAAATAAGCAACATGTTAGTTTTCAAACTCTCTGTGAAGAATTGAGACTTGAAAAACAAGCCCTTTTTTCTAAATCTGGCAGTAATTTTCAGAGAGATGATGATTTGTGGCTGCGCCAGTGTGTTTTCTTTCCTAAACATGACAATTTTTCCGTTTAACCGCCCTCTGCAACTGCCTCGTAGCACTGGCTTGGAGTTGTGCTTTTCTCTTGCCCTTCCTCACATCCTGCATTCACGCACTTCAGGTCAGCAGAACACTTGAAATCAAGGGCCATATGGGAGTAGCTGTACCCAAAGGAAACACAAGCTCTTCTTGGGACTGAAATGTGAACGTCCTGCACATTTCAAAGCCTCGCTGTTCACATTGGGGGCGAGGAGGAAGGCAGAATGCTGTCTCTTTAAAGATACTCTTTATTCTTATTTTCCCAGTGGTTGCCTACAGATAGCTGTAGGCATTGAGAGATTGTGTAGATTACAGTAAATCAGGATGAAAAGGTAGATTTTGTGTAGATGCATTTGTCTGCTGTAATTTTTTATATATATTAAACTTACTGTAATTGTACAGTTCATTTCTGTTGTAAACATCATTAAACCATTTTCCAAGTGTTTTAACATGTATGCACTTGTTTGTGATTTTTTAAAATGTGTCAGGGATGTCAAGGATAATTCTTCTTCCCACTGATCAGACTGGGCCATAAACTCTCTTCTTTCATGCTCTTTGTCATGTCAAAGGAGTCCAGGTTTTCTGCACTCCACTAGAATCTTCGTTGTTCCCCTATTTCTGTATTTTCAACTTCTTTTCTAAAAGAAAATGAACAGCCTGGTTGCTTCCTGCAGGTAAAGTGAAGACTTGTTCTGCATTGGTACAGCTGTGTTGGGCGCTTTTGGAGATCAGTATTCACATGCATCTTAAGAGATTCTTTTTTCCCCTAAAAATTTCTTCCTCCACAGTTTTATAGTTGATGTATTTTGGAAGACGGGTGGTCAGTGACAGGGGTAATGGGTATAAATTAAAACACAGGAAGTTCCGTCTCCACGTGAGGAAGAACTTCTTTCCTGTGAGGGTGACAGAGCCCTGGAACAGGCTGCCCAGAGAGGCTGTGGAGTCTCCTTCTCTGGCGATCTTCCACCCTGTGCCATGTGCTCTGGGTGTCCCTGCTGGAGCAGGGGGGTTGGACTAGATGACCTCAAGAGGTCCCTTCCAACCTCAACCATTCTCTGAGTCTGAGTCATTGAAACTTTTGACTTCAACATCTTGCAAACAGGATATTGTGACTTAAAATAAAAATCATTATATTTTCAGTAGCTTACTGTTTTGTTCTTGAATCAAGAACAAGAGTGTTTTGCAGCTGCAAATTTACCTTTTTAGCCTTGCAGCTTAGTTATTTTAGGTGTCACTCAATTCATTTGCATTTTGCTTGTGTTATTACTGAGGAACAGTATGGGAACCAGGAAATTCTTGGCAAGGCATTTATTGCCATGCTTTGGTTGTCTCCGTCTACTTTTTTTGCACTAATTTGCTGTCCTTGAAATACTCAAGAGAGACAAACACCTAGTGCAGATACAGTTTTGCTGCTTAAGAAATTAGGCACAGCCTGGTAATTTACATAACAGCAATTTCAGCAAGTTTCTCTGCTTCTAACACAGGCTCTTAAAAAACAAACATGAAACTTTATCTTGGCCATGTCAGCAGGAGCAGCTCTTGTTCCCACAGCAGTGTCACAGCTCTGCTCTCTCTGTCGGGACCAATGAAACAAACGGGTCAGATCCTGACCAAAGCTAAAATAACCCATATTTTTCTGGGTTATTTTTACCCCTGGTGAGTTGCCTGTAGGACTTTGTGACATTGCCTTGTAAGTCATGGGCACAACCGCGCACGCAGCGGGAGCCGAGCGCGGCCTTTACGGTCCCTCTGAGGAGGCTTTTCCAGCGTCTCCTTCCCACGGGCCTGCGGCGCCGGCTCCCGGGAGCGGCCGCACGGGCTCCGGCTGCGACACGGAGCGCACGGCCGTGCTCGGAGGCGACGCTGCTCGCGGCCGCGGGCGGCTGCTCCGCGCACAAACACCAACACACACTCGGAGCGCTGCTGCTACCTTTATTCACCCGTCAGAAATGCAGTACAGGGTTGGCTGCCAGCACTTTGGAAAGACGCCTCTGTCGTCGCTTAGTGTACCTTGATGGTAGACTGGGTTTGAAACTGTATTTCCATTAGCTTGAATACAAAGCCGTTTTTGCCAGCAAATGATTATTTTGGTTTGGTTTTCAGAATTACCACCAACATTTTTATACAGGGAAACAACTGTGCAGTGACATTTGTAGATGTTGCAAATGAGAGGGGCAGAAGTGAAGCAAGGACATCCTTTAGCCAAATTCCCCAGTATGAGGTTTTGTGGATTCTTCAATATGATCCATATTTAGACTCTATGCTCCTTATTTTCGCTGTAACTAGGGTATCTTCTGCCTTCTGAGAAATTTCTTAAACCGATTACCTTGCTCTTGTTTAGCTTCATTTGCTGGAGAGTGGCACTGCCACTGCTTGACCTTTTGTTGCAGCTTAGTGCTGATTTGTTTCATATTAAACAGGTAAGTGCAGCTGGACTTCAGCCTCTGTCCTTCACTACATTAATGTCATGTCACTTTTTACAGTTAAAGAAAAAAACTTGTCTCCTGTTAAAGCAGTTTCTTAAAGGTAAATTTAACCCCCAAATTTAGCTGGCCCATAACAAATGTTTTTATCATAAATAATGCAGGAAATACTACAGCCTTATCCTTACAAAGGTCTTTAAATGCAACAAAATTATAATTACATGACATGGTACCTCTTGAAGGCAAGTGAGAGCTAGGGAAACAGCTCCGTCAATAGGAGAACCCAGGTAACTGGTCTGGTCCTACAACACAAATCTTACAAAAATCAGGCTAATAACTACTATCATTGGAAGGGACTTTACAGGTATGTACATTTTAATAGCTAAAGCTTGCAGTTGCATGATTCAAGAGGGAAAGGAGAAGGGGCTGACCAAGTCCAGAGTTATCCCCTCTGTGCACAGGCTGGTTTGTTGCACTGAGAGATGCACGCTGCCTCGATCACAAAGACTCCCCTCCCTTCTTCCCAAAGCAGGGGGGCATCTCTCACCTCTGCCCATCCCCTCTGTGACTCCCACTTAGCGGGGGGGCAAAGGCTGCATCTGGAGAGCATCATATGTGTCCTTGGTTGCTGCACAGAGCCCCTAGAGAGAGAAAGGAAAAAAAGAAAGAGGTAAGTGTAACTCGTCGGTTCTCCCTGACCGATCATGAACAGGTCGGCAGTGGCATAATTCAATTTTTTCTTTTCCTATAGTTTTTTTAACTCATGAATACTTCCTTAGTCTTTGCACGGTGTCAATTGCTATCACCTACTTGAACGCAAGATGCATCCTGAATGACTTGTTGGAGTATATGACTAGAGCAAATCACCTAAAGAGGTTAGACAGCTCCTTGGAGTACACTTTGCTTATTATGGATTGTCAAGGGCCAGCTCCTGCTGGAGTGAACCTTGTCCACCAGCAGCATGCACAGACATCACATGCTGAAAATACTCTATGAACTTCTCCTTCATAATAACTTGGAAGGAAAGTAAGATACAACATGAGGTAAGTTGGCAGTGGGGCTTCAGACAGCAGGTGACAGAAGCTCCATCCTGCAATCGTGCAGACCATCTCCTCTGATGCTGCTAAGTCAGCACTCCCATGTGCACTGCAAATCCCTGCTGCTTCCAGGGAGCTGGCTGCTCCGGGAGCGGGACAGAGCAACACATGGGAGAGGTCATGGGGATAACTGGGACTTCCAAGACTGAGGAGTTAGCCTGTGGGCACGGGGCTTGCTTGTGCAATTTCTGGCTACCTCTGTTATGAATATTTAGTGCAGTATAGTCTCAGCATGGCAGTTATGAGACCTAATCTGAACCAAACCTGTAATTGGAATATCCTGTTAGGGTAGTGCTTTTTATCTGCTAACTGTGATGATCTTGGCAGAGCAGGTTTTGAAGAAACGTACTGGTTAGCTATGAATATGGCCATGGTACAAAAAAACTGCCCACCGCACGCTCTGTCAAAATTTGGATCTTGGCAGAGCAGGTTTTGAAGAAATGTACTATGAGTATGGCCATGGTACAAGAAAACTGCCCGCCACACGCTCTGTCAAAATTTATGATCTTGAGATGTCATTGGCAATGCACAGGCTTCTACAAGGAGCTGAAATGCAGTTTTGTAAAAAATGTTCACAGCAGCCTGAGTAAGGTGGTTCTCCAAGGATACAAGATTCCTACCAGAGCTGCTAGGTAAGTTTTCCTGCCCGTTGTACTCGGCACATGCAGACACCTTTATCAAAGTCACAACACAGACATCTTTGTTCTGGCTCTAACTGCCCTCAGAGAGGCCCTCTGAAAGCCCTGCAGCACCAGATGTCACCAGCACCGGGGTTAGATGTGTAGTGAGAATCTACAGTTCTGTCTGACTATAATCAAGGCGGTTGCTGCGTGTGTTGCCTACCTGGTAAACAGCATCGTTTCCCTTGCCCCGTCGCCTCTGCTGTATTGGGAAAGAAAAACAAGCAAACACATGTCAAGGAGTGCTCTTGCATTATGCAAAAAAGAAAGAGAACCCTGACTTCCCCCTCCCTTCACGGAGGGTCAGCCCTGTGCAGGTGCAAAGCTGCTGCCTTCAGGGCCTGCGGAAGGTCTGGAACCGCTCGGACGCGCTGCTGCCAGCGCCTGCCCCGGGCGGTGCGGGAACACGGGCAGGGTTAGAAAGAAAAGGGGAATTACGCTGGTTTTATACCAGGATTTCTTAGCATACTTTAAATAATGCTGCTGTTGGATTTGCTGCATGTATGGAGATTTGGCAGTGTTTCTACAGGCACCTCTTGTTTTACGAGCTTAAGGTACACTTGGAATCAACTTTTTTTTTAGATGTAAGGTACTGTCTGAGCATCTCTACCCTGCACTCTGGACAATCATGGAAAATTAAATCCTCTAGCTTGCATTCTGTAGACACACATGCAAAGAAATTCAAAGGAACTACAGATCAGTCAGTCTGGGGAAAAAGCCACCTGGAATTCAGTAAAAAAGATAGCAGTCTGGCCTGGTACAATGAGCTCACACAGTCTTTCAGGGGACATAGAAAAGTCTGGGCACGGGCTGGGCGCAGGCCTGGCGTGAGCCTGCGGGCAGGTCTCAGGGCAGGGGGGCTGCCGGAGGAAGCTGCAGGAGCGACTCCCTGGTGAGGATCAGGCCCTGGCAGCGCTCAGAGCCACCTGCGAGGAGCGCGACCCTGCAGGCACGGGGCTGTCTCGGGGCTGGGAGAGCCCCTGAGGGTGCTTCGTGCACGTTAGAAACAGCAAAAGGCAGTGTCTGCTACAGCGAAAACTTCAGGACTGCTAAATGGTTGCATCGTCATGCCTTTAGAATGAGACAAGGACTTTTTTTTTCTGATAATATCGACATTTATAAACAAAAACATGGAGAATCCTGAGTTGATCTTCAATATGGCAAATACAATACTAAAAAGGGAGGAATGAAATAACAGAGTTGCTTAAGCATTTTCCAAAATGAAACTTCGTTAAAATGCCCCTTTTGTCATTTTTCAGAGAGAAGCAGGAATTTAAGAAATATGACACTTTGTCCCAAATTGGAATGTGTGTGTCACAGTAATTTTAAATTGTGCTATTCATTGCCAATAACAATGTTCAAAGACCGTTTTCATAGAATCATTATGGTTGGAGAAGACCTTCAATATCATAGAGTCCAGCTGTTTGTTTCAGTGCAAGCTTCCTCCTGTTTTTTTTTGTGCAAAGAAATAAATCTCATTTATTTATTTATTTATTTTTGCTACCTTCAGGCATTGCTGCCCTATTCCTTTTTGAATTTGAAAATGGATGTGGGAGAAGGGGATCATTTCCCCAGTTACTTGTCTGAAGACAAACCCAAGCTCATCGAAAGAAATCCTCCATCCTGTAGCTCCTTGAATGAAACTGCTCAACTACTATGAGTGGCTGGGCAAAATGAACATTGCAGCCCCTGAAATCAGACATTTCCTCACCTACCTCTCCAGATATCCTCTGCCTCTCCAGGAGGGGGTAACGGCTGCATGTTTTTTGTCCAAAAGTAGAAATGTTTTCCCCTGACATCAGCCAAGCTGCTCAGGGATACTGCCGATGTGCAGGGCAGCCCACCTGACTGTCCAGTCTCCACCTTGCTTTATGGCTACTGTAATTCTAATGCTGTTGGGCTGCTGGTCTGTAAGGGAATGGGAATAAGGAGTTTTTCAGCCCAAGCTTTCCGCAGGGAGGAAGGTAGTACTCACCTCTCCCTTCTTCCCAATCTCACTGTACGCCTCGCCCATCTTGTCCTTCTGCAGGGACTGCAAGCAGAGAGCAGGAGAGCGCAAACGTTAGCCGGAAACCCCCGGGGCAACCCACCGCCCTCCTGGCCTGTGGGGCTTCCCTGCCTCCACCCGACCCCCTCAAAACTGTGTCCTCCTCCTGGGGGATAGGTCAGTGGTGGACCTCGACATTACATTAAAATATATGCATGTCGTGCATGAAAAAAAACTATGTATTTCATCAACATGACCTCATCTCTAAACATTTAAATAGCAGTAACTCTACCCCCAAGAGGAATTTCTCATAAAACCAATTCACTTTCCTAGCCCAACATCCCATCTTCCACCACCACTACAACTCTCTAAAGAGCATCTTTCAGCAGCATTAGTTCTGGGAAACCCATAACATGGCAGAGTGCAGGTTAAGAAAGAGAAGCTCTTCTTTCCTCCATCCAGGAAAATGTTTTCCAGGCGCCTAGGACCTGGTGCAACAGGGCCTTCTGATCCAGTAAGGATAAAGGCCTAAAGTCTTAGAAATGCACTCCTTTCTTCCTGTTTAGTACCAAACACAAGAAAGACCCTGAGTGAGGCACAAGTATTAGTGTTCCTGTATCCATCCCTTGGAGCACAGACCATCAAATTCAGCTGGCGCTGAATTAATGGAAACAAGAGGCTCCTCGGGTGCCATTCTTGGCAGCACTGGTGCGTGTCAGACCAGACGGCAGCCAGCTGGGCTGCAGCACCAGCCCTCAGCACAGGGTCACCACTCGCACAGGACAAAGCCCGTGACGCTCCCCCGCGGCTCACACAGAGCGGGTATGTTGAGTCACATTGTTTTCCCCATCTGCCCCAAGCAGTCAGTGTTTTCTCCTATTGCTGAGCCAGAGTCACAAATTATCTAGCAAAAACAATAACAATAAAAAACAAGCCAAAAAACAACAACGACAATAAACCAGAAAAACAGTCCAGTCCCCAAACTTTTGTTTGAAAGAACTGTTAAGTTTGAACCAAAACCAAAACTGGGTGGGTAGGGAGGTGGGTCTTCTATGAGTGAGAAAGTCCTGTTTCTAGCCAGCCCGCCCCGACTCTGCCTCTCCCTCCAGCTTCCCCTACTCACAGTGTAGACGGTGTCCTGGGCGGTCGGTCTTCTCTGCTGCAAAACAAAGGCAGACAGTTGCCCACACACAGCACTCTCAGCATCTTCCCCCCCAACTGCGCCTGCGCTTTAGTGCCAAGGCCCACGTACAGCTCTGTGAACGTGTCCATTACAGCCCATGCTGCCCTCTCCCATAAAGCTCTGTTGAGACAGCTTGTGCTCTGGAAAATTAATTCAGTTTAAATAAATGATAAAACTTTGCCCTTCTCCTCTCCTTCTCTACTGCTGCCATCTGCAGGCAAGCCCTAAGCCCGAGGCAGCAGGTTTGCCCTCTCCCTCTTCGAAACGGTTCAGCTCTGCAGCACAGGCTGCTGCCTTACGCTGTTGGCACCTGCTCGGAGGCACCACAGGCAGAGAGCACTAGTGAAACAGCCCTCCTGCCTCGGCCGCTCCGCATCCGCCCGCGGCCGGGTGTCACTTCCTATGCGGAGAGGCTGCAAGTTCTCAGCAGCAGCACTGGCGGGGTGAGGGGCAAAGATCAGAGCGGGGAGGTTTCATTCTTGTCCCTGCCATGCCACCAGCCTTGTGACTTTCTATACAGCTCGTGCTGTTCCCTCTAGCGGGGGACACGGACGCTCAGCACATGCGTGCTGAGAACCTGCATGTCTAAACAGCGGTTAGACACAAGAAGAAAAGACCTAGATGAAAAGAAAAAAAATGGTGCGTGTGTGGGAGGAAGTTACCTGGTGTCTCCCACCCATCTCAGGGTCTGCACCTCTCTTTGCCCCGAGAACATCATATTCATCTCTATGGCCACGAGCCAGTTTCTGAAATAAAAAAAAAAAAAAAAAAGCAAGCGGCAGTGATGGACATTAAGATCATGAAACAACAGCTCTTAATACAAGAAAAGCAAGAGGCTCCAGCATGGTGCCCAAAATCATGAGCACTCTAACTGAGATGGAAACTATTTTCACCCTTGATGATATTGCCAACAAAATTGTCTATGAGTAGGTACTGAACCAACAGTGAGTGGTCTGTGCTGTGCAAAATTGCAAGCTATTGCCTCGAGACCTTGTCTTAAGTAGAAATGAACCCAGCAGGAAGATCAACTCCGACTTTTACGCTTTGTTTGCCAGGGGGGGTTGAAGATCAATGCTCTTGATTTTTCCTGTAGAACAGCTGGTCTAAATTTGAACTAAGTGAATGCAGAAAGTTTATGCCCGACTCATTTCTTACCTGGGACCAGTTACCCTGGAAGAGGTAAAGAGATCATCTCAGGTCAAACTAACGTACTGGACAGGGCAGGTATGTCTGGAAATTATGTTGCCATTTCCAGATGTGTACAAGTAATATCCAATGCTATTCAAAAGCTGACACTTTTAAATGAAGAAGCTTTTTTAAAAAAATAGTTTTAATTTATTGAAAAATGAAAAAGTTTTTCATATATTAAATAATAAAGCAGTGAAATTCATTATCACAGGAAGTGACTGCGGTCAAGAGCTTGAGAGTAAAGAAAACATCAAAAGAGGACCAGATGTATCAAAACTAGCCTAGAATTTAATGCTGCCATGAATGAACAATTTAGATAGAAAGGACAGACAGGCTCTTGTCTCTGTCTTTTTTCACTGTCTGAAGACAGTAGCAGCTCTCATGTGGTGGATAAAACAAGAAAGCTCAGGGCTGGAGACTGCAGGGCTGCGTGACTCAGGCTCCATAGCTGGCGTGGTGCAAGAGCTACGGTCCCCCAAAGTCTGCAATGCAGAAACCCTGGGCATTTACCTTACCTGCAGCAAGTAAATCAGAAAAACAGCTATGCATGATGCCTGTGGTTCAGCACAAGCTGCTGCTATTGAAGCCCTGGGAGCCTCATGCCCCCTGTGGAGGCCAGTGCGCAAGGGGGAGGCGCGTGCACAGCACACGTAACCACCCGGGGCTGCGCGCACGCTGCTCTTGCAAGCGCGTTATATAATATAGCACAGAGGGCCTGGTCTCCCATTCAGCCTTGGGTCCTTGTCTCCCTTTATGGTAGTAGATGAAACCAGGCCCCACAGTCCACATATCTGTCTGGCATCTAACCAGCTAACAGACCACAGGTTCCCCTTGTCAAGTTTCATTTTGCCTCCTAACAGCTGTGCTGATGCTCCGGGCTATTTCTTTCATTACTTGGGCTCATCCAAAGCTTTTCTGATCCACAGGCAACTCACCATGTTTGATTAAGTGCCCCAAAGGGGGTGGCTGAATAATGGATCTGACAAAAATATATATATTACAAAGCAAACGAACAAACCCAGCCACCAGCAGTACTTACATTGTACACATCGTCCTGGCCGGGCTGCAGCGGTGGCTCGTGGGCTTGGCTGAGCTGGAAGAGAGAGCGCACCCCAGTCAGCGCCAAGGGCAGCCGGGGCCAGCAGG